AAACCGGTTCGGTTTCGGTTTGAGAATTTTCCTGAACCGAAAAACTGGTTCGGTTCAGAAAAGTGGTTAACCGGTTCGGTTAACTGCTTTTGAACACCCCTACCTGCTAGTTCCGATTGTGTTTTAGCAGCTTTATTAAACTGAGGACTAATTAAATCTCATATTATCTTCTTGATTTTACGAAAAAAAAAAAAAAAGTTTTAAAGTTTTTATCAAGGAATATATTCAATCGCCAAAGGCACATTCAAGAGTATATAACATAATATATTGTATTATATATAATATGCCTCTCTATTATTTTATGAAATTAATTAGCTAAAAGGTTTGATACTAATTGAGAAATGATTTTGCTTATTATAATCTGATGACCCTTTTCCACTAAACAATGTATAGTTGGATTCTTGCTTTGAGTTTTGAGAATTTTAATTTGGGTTTACTTGCAACTTTTATTGGACTAGTCTTGGATTTGTGTTGGGCTCACCTATTAAACTTGGCCCAAGTGCATCTAAGGAGAAAGAGGTGCACTAAATTAGCCCATAATATTATGGAATGGTTAACATTTGTGTTCTCCTTATCAAATGTGTTGTTATTCAAACCCCCTCAAAACTCTTTCTAACACCCATCAGCCTAGTTATTTTGTTCGTTTAACTTGTCTGATATGTATGTCATGACTCATGAGGATGACAAAATTCTCCAAAAAATTGGACCCTTGAGTCATTCGAGTTGAGAATGTTGTTTCGAAATGTTGAGACAAGTATAAAAGACTCCTCTCGAATTTTATTTCGAGGTGAGAATGAAAATTGAGATATTCGATCTAGCTACTAATCTAAAAGCCCTAAAACATACAAAGAATAAATAAATGAAACGCCCATGAACATATTGAAGGGTGGATATATAATGAGTAACTTTTGAAAAGAAAAAATAAAAAATAAAAATTGAACAATCCATTTAATTCATGGCGGTCTAGGGAGGTTCTTGTTATATCTGAAAATCTCGTGGGAGGTTTAGTTCCTTAGAAAATATGAGGGGAGATGAAAAGTAAACAAACGCATACCAAATTCAAACTCCAGTTTCTTTCCTCCACTGCTACCGCCGCCGCAGCCGACGGCACATAAGGCCAGCGCCAGCCTCAGCTGCTCCACTTCTTCTTCAATCTGGTTCGTCTTCCTCCAATCATTTTGAGCTCTTTCTTATAAAGTTTCAAAGTTTCATGTGTTTGTTTCTTAATTATCTCAATCAAAGTACTACAGGAATAAGAATTTTCTTCAATTAGATAAAAAATTAAAGTGCTTTGCTAAGAGAAACATGCATCTAGGTTATCAAGATGAACTGAAAATGAAGATAGAAAAAAAGTATAATATAGATCATACACATGGAGTATATTCAAAGTATCCAGGTGAAATTTAAGAAAAAATAAATGTAATTCTTTACATGAAATTCTTTTATTCTTTCATAATTAGAATTTCAATCATAAAGTTTTGATTTTTGAATCAATTTCAGTGCAGGACCGAAAATAATGCTTTTCATGAGGAAATCGATGCATCATATGTTTTCTTTACTTACTAATAGGGGTTATAACTCCGCTCGGATTTCACAACTCCAAATTCAGGAGAGTTTAGAGTCGCGTAAGAATCTATGAGCCTGTTGGCTACTCTTTGAGGAAATTGCTGCATTCTTGCTTTATCAAAGACATTTTTTTCGTAGTGGAAGACCTTTAAAATCATCAAAGCAGAAGAGCCTGAAAAATTATTTGTTTTTCTTTTATTTCAAAATTATGAGTTTTTTCATTCTAAAGACTAAAGTTTTGAATTAGTAAAGAGAATTCAAAAGTCAGATTTTTTTGTTTCCCTATTATTTTTTATAGGTATAAAAATAATTTAAATGAAATCAAAGCAGTGGCGAGGGAGTTGAAGATAGTGCTAAAAAGAGAAATCTGAAATCAACGGAGAAGATAACACATTGCTCTGAAAGTTGAAATATGCAAGGAGTGGGAGCGACAGGAGCAGGGACATGTTTCTAGAGCCTGAGAAGCATTGGTCTAGGGATAGAGAAGCTCCGGCTTGAAAGAAGAGTAGGAGACTGATTTGCATAAACTAGATCGAAAGTGAAATAGCTTGTTTGACTTATTTGCTGTAAACCGTGGCACAGATGATGACCAAGATTTTGCTGGTAATTTTGTGACATGCTTTTTCATTCCTTTTAAACTAGCAAAGCTTGCATTTGAATAATTTTTTATCATGAATGATATGTGATTTTGTGGAATTTATTAGGCTTGGTTATCTGGTTGCTGAATTGTCCATTTTCTAACTTGAGGCAGGGAAGTCCCATTTTGATGAAAACAATTTAGAGTAGTGATTCTGTGTCCGATTATCTGGTTTCTTGTTCCAGTCTTTTAATGAGTTTGTTATTGTTAATTTTACTCAGACAATCATAATGTTCTTGTTTAATGTTGTTTTGAATTCAGTGTTCTACTTGTTTGTTACAATTTGTTCGAGCTTGGCTGATATTTTATCGGCAGCTGTGCTATGGCTTCATCTGCTATCAGTAGTACTTAAAATGAAACTAAATGCAGTTGCGCTTATTATGTGTGTACTCTGCGATGATTCAAGCCCTGGTTCGCATTCCTTACTCGTGGCATATGATTTTTGTTCTCAGACATTTGCAGATCAAAGAATTCATGAAGCAGCTTATTGCTGCCCTTCGCGGATGGACCTTCGGATAAGGACATCACAAATTTCCGTAGACTTGTTTGACTGATGAAGGTGCGGTTCCATTTGAAAGCTTACTCCTTCCTATGTATAGAACCATAACATTCAACTTCTGTAATCATCTTCATTTCATGAAATTCTGGAATTTTAGGTTCCAAAATTGTTCTATTGCATTACATGATACATAGTTTGAGATGTTTACATTGTCACCACAATAAGATGGAAAATCTTCAATCCTTTCAAACAGTGTGTTGGCTTTGGTTTCACAGGTAATAAAGTATCTGTATCATAAGCTGATAATTTTCAAGAAATTTGGAGGGTAACTTCAAATGGGTTATGGAATTAAAACAAACAACAATTTATAATTCTGTATGCTGGATGTATGTATTTTCGATCAATCATGATGTATCTACAGATTACATCTGTACTTCTGATTCATCACTATATATTTACAGATCATGTAATCTGATGTAGTATTTTCTCCATATCGTTTGCATGTGTATGCAATCAATCAGGAGAAATGTGTAGATCACATATATTGACTTTACAAACTCTTATTGGTTGAATACACATATACCGTGATAGTTATCTATTATATAGTCCCATATAATATTAGGGGTTGTTTTTATTATTTTGGAAAACAAATTTGAAAAGCATTTTGAAAAACAGGAGACAGGAGGTCGGTTCTGGGCAATTTCCATCATTGTACTGCTACACCTCTTTTAAATGCAAAGAAAAATAAAATGGACAAAGGCATTCAAAGATTCATGTGAGGAAGAAAGAACCCTTAAAATACTTGGAAATTATCACCGAACATTCATACCGTTTTGACCAATTTATAAATATTCATACACTATCTCAAACCCGAGGGAGGTGAAGGATATAGCCCTAGAGGTTAAAGAGGCCATAAAATGGCAAATGGATTTATTATTGGTTGAGTTATTATTGGAAGTCTCATTCTCTCATGCAAGAACCTGATTTGGAGACTGCAGAGAATCCTTCCTCCTGCTTCTTTTGTAAAAATAAATGGGAAAATGGGCTCTCCTCATCCTCATCCATTAGTATCGCTTTTCCTCCTCTTTCTTATCACTTTCTCTTCCACTTAACAAGGTAATTAATTGACAAGTAAACAACATGTTCCCACCCAAGGTTAAGCAAAATGCAAAGTTTTCACCCTGTTTCATAAATTCCAGATTCCCACACTGTTATGAATTTTTACTTCTGAAATAGCTGAGAGTGTGTTATTACCATTCTACCCTTGACTTTTGATCTCACAGTCACCCAGCCACCACCACCACCACAAACCCACCCAAAACTCAGCCACAATCACCTTCACCACCCAGCGTCGCACCACCACTCTTACAATCGCACCAACTAGCTGCATCGTAGCCCTTCTTCCTCACCAACCACCTCAAAAAGCAAAAGCAAATCCCTTGGACTTTTCTCGAACACTTGGGGGCAGTCACAGAAAACTTCAAAAATATCAACTTCAATCCATCAATCAATAAAAAAAAAAAAAATAATATTACATTTACACCACTTTTGTATAACATATTTATTATGTTATACAATCATACTTGTGATGTGATATATGTCACAATCACATAAATTTTTAATTATTTTAAATTTTTAATATTATAATAAAATTTATGTGAATGTGACATATATCACGTTATGATGTAATAAAAATAGTGTAAAACAGTGGTATAATTGTAGGATTACTCCCTAAAAAAACCAATAATATGCACAAAAACAGTCAAACACCCCAACGAATCAACAAGAAATCAAAATCCGTTTTCAATCTCCCACCAAAATCCAACACCCAACAATTTTCCAAAACTTAGCTGCGACGAAACCAGGGGTGGGAACTTTGTATTTCACTTAACCTTGGGTGGGAACATGTCATTTGCTACCACGAAGGTTCATCGAAGTGGCAAGCTTTGGGTGTGAACAAAAGATCACTGACTCCACAAGGTGTGAACAAAAGACTCAACCAACCACTGCCTCCACAAGGTGTGAACAAAAGACCAAAATAAAGACTACCACGAAGGTTCATCGAAGTGGCAAGCTTTTGGTGCCAATTAATAAAGCAAGAGACACCATCATTTCTTTTTAATCAAAAGTCAAAAAGTTAAGTGCCATGATTTCTCAGAAGGTTCATCAAAGTGGCAAGTTTTCTGTGTCAATTAATAAAGCTATTAATCAAGAAATTTAACTATATTTTTCCTGCATCCGTGTTTCAATTATCTTCAACTAGCTTATTCTCGCTCTCTTCGTTTCTTCTGAGAGAAAATGGCAGAATCAATTCTCTTTGATATTGCGACTGAAGTTCTGTTGAAGACAGGCTCTCTTGTGGGTGGGGAATTGTCCTTGTTGTGGAATCTTGAAAGCGATTTAAAAAGCCTTACGGGAACCCTAAGCACGATCCAAGCCGTGCTCTTGGATGCTGAGAAAATGCAGGCAAAAGATCATCAGCTGCGTCACTGGCTTGGGAAGCTTAAGGATGTCTTCCATGATGCTGAAGACGTTTTAGAAGAATTTGAGTTTGAAGCAGTGAGACAAAAGAGGAGCACATTAAGAAAGGTATGTCAATGCTTTTCAAGCTCCAATCCTGTTGTTTTTCGATCTGAAATTAGTCATCAAATCAAGGAGATTAAAGAAAGGCTAGACCAGATCGCAGGTGATAGGAGTAGATTTTCTCTTATTGAGAGTACTCCTGCTGAAGTTGGGCATGTTATTCCAAAGGAGAGGGAGACTCATCCCTTCTTGGGAGCTTCTTGTGTTATCGGAAGAGAGGATGATAAAGAAAAGATCATGAACTTTTTAATGCAACAAACCGGCAATAATGTCTCTGTCATTCCAATAGTTGGAATTGGGGGTTTGGGTAAAACCACTCTAACTAAAATGGTTTTCAATGATGAAAGGGTAAATGAGTTCTTTCCGTTAAAAATGTGGACATGTGTGTCGGATGATTTTGATGTCACTAGATTGATGAAAGAAATTATTTATTCTGCAACACGTGAGGATTGTAGTAAGTTAAAAGGAGATGAAATTTCTAAGCGTTTACAGGAAATTTTGACAGGTAAAAAGTTTTTGCTTGTCTTGGATGATGTTTGGAATGAGAAACCGATGAAATGGTTGGAATTGAAAGACTTACTGATGAATGGTGTCAATGGAAGTAAAATTATTGTGAGCACACGAAGTAAAAGAGTTGCAGAAATAATGAGCACTGTTCCATCACATTTTATACAAGGTCTTTCCAATGAGGAATCCTTGTCATTATTTAAGAAGTATGCGTTCAAAGATGGAGAAGGGAAAGATTTTCCAAGGCTCATTGAAATTGGGAAGGACATTGTAGAAAAATGTAAAGGAGTTCCGTTGGCTGTGAGATCTTTGGGGAGCTTACTTTATGCAAATACGGACGAACGTGAATGGTTGAAAATAAAAAAGCATGACATCTGGCAGGTGGATCAAGATAATGAAGACATCTTACCAGTATTGAAATTGAGCTATGATCATTTGCCATCTCCCTTGAAGAGATGCTTTACTTATCTTTGCTTGTTTCCAAAGGATTATAATTATCAAAATGATCACGTGACCCAATATTGGATGGCATATGAACTTCTTAAAACCTCTGATAAAACTGAAGAGCTAGAAGATGTTGCTGATCAATATGTGAAAGATTTATGGTCAAGGGGTTTCTTAGAGGATTTCCGAGATATTGGTTGTTTGTGGTCATTTAAAGTGCATGATCTTATGCATGATCTTGCAATATCAATGGCAAAAGATGAGTCTGCATTCTTGAATTTCGGAAGTCAAAACGTTCATGGGAAATTTCGGCATTTTTCACACGGTGACACAGAGTTATGTGGTGAAGAATTTCTACAACTCATAGTGGATAACTCAAGGAGTGTTCGAAGCATTCTCTTTCCAGCAGAAGAGAAATACAGAGATGCACGTATTATTGGATCATTTATTAGAGGAGATATATCCAAATTCAAGTACCTTCGAGTACTACACTTGTGTCGTATACGTTTCGAAGTGTTGCCAGATTGTATCGGTACATTGGGACATTTGAGGTACCTTGATCTAGCTAGGAATCATTCATTGAAGAAGATCCCTGAATCCATTTGCGAGCTTCAGAACTTGCAAATGTTAAGATTTGGTAATTGTGATAAGCTTCAAAAGTTGCCTGATAACATACGAAAGATGACTTGCCTTAGATACTTGGAAATAACCACACAAGAGGAGGTTCTTCCAGAAAATGGAATTGGATGTTTGAGTTCCCTTCGATATTTGAACGTATTTTATTGTCACAATCTAAAACGTTTGTGTGAAGGGATGCAAGGTCTGAAAAACCTCAGAACGTTGTCTCTAGCAAGTAGTTTTGTGATCTCATTACCAGATACTATCAAATACTTGACAAAATTAGAGATGTTAGTGATTTGGGGATGTGACAAGATTAATTTGAAGATGGAATTGCAAGGAGAAGATCGTGTGCTGAGGTTGGGTCTTAAAAAATTCATAATTGCTTATTTGAATTCATTGGTGGATTTGCCTCAGCTTCTTCTTCAATCATCTGCTGAGACTCTGAAGTACGTGTATATTGTAAAGTGTGAAAGGTTAGAAGCACTTCCGGAGTGGTTCCAAAATCTCACATCACTTGAAAAACTTGAGATTGGAGATTGCCCCAGATTGTCATCTCTTCCTAAAGGGATAGAACGCCTTAATTCCCTCAAGGAATTGAAGATTACAGCCTGTCCTGCACTGTCTGATATAAAGCTGAAGAAATGATGAGTCAAAGATTGCTGATTTGTTTTCATGGGTGGTGTGTTTGTTTTCATCTTACTGGAGATTCTTGGTAATGCTGGTTCGTTTTCACGGGTGGTGTGTTACTCCTTTCAGCTTTCAATTTGGTTGTATTTTATTGTTTCTTATGCATGGACCCTGTTATATTTTTACTTTTGAAAGATTGACATTTTTTTTTTTTTTTTAATAAAAAAGTGTATGTGTTTGTGTATGTTTAGCCATGACTAATTTTATTAATGCAATTATGTAAACTAAAATTATGGGTGGGGACAAAATGCATACGAGGGCAGTTAATACATTCTTTTTATATTTGTATTATGTGCCCAAGAGTTTCACCAAATACACGAATGATGTCTTTATATATATAAAAAATTGTAGCTTTACAGCTATATCTCTATTTTTTCATTTTTTTTTCCCTCAATTGATCATTTTTTTTAATTGCTATTATTATTATTATTAGTATAAAGATGATCCGAATCTGAGGCTATGCATTTATCTACACAATTCTCAGTTCGTCCAAACCATATGGACTACCCACGGATGGTTATTTTTCTTACTTACACTCAGGTTCAATCCCTATTAATCAAGCTTTAATTGTAACCTAATTCAGTGTTCTAATTGTCTGTTACAATTTGATCGAGCTTGGCTGATATTTTATCGACAGTTGTGCGAAGGTTTGATCTGTTATTAGTAGCACTTGAAATGAAACTAAATGTAGTTGCGTTTATTATGTGTTTACTCTACGATGATTTAAGCCCTGGTTCGCATAGCTTGCTCGTGGCACATGATTTTTGTTCTCAGACATTTGCAGATCAAGGAATTCATGAAGCAACTTATTGCTGCCCTTCGCAAATGGACCTTTGGATAAGGACATCACAAATTTCCCTAGGACATCAACAAATACCTGTTAGAGGGATGAAGGTGCGGTTCCATTTGAAAGCCTGCTCCTTCTAATGTAGAGAACCGTAACGTTCAACTTCTGTAATCATCTTCATTTCATGAAAGGTCGAACGACATGCACCCATCCATAGTTTGCCGTAAAGACAATATGATACCCAAAAAGTTTGGAAATGACAAACAACCACTTTCCGTCAGATTTTGTTAAAGATTTTTGTTTGCTTAAGGATAATAGTGCTAGAAAAGACTGAAATGCCCTTGAAATTTTTTATCTTCTCTTCTTCGTCTTTTTGGTCTCCTGTTTTCTTCCATCTCTTTATTTTCCTCTCTCTTCTTCTCTCTTGGATTTTGCCAGAATTCAAATGGTAAAGGGATAAATTTTATTAATTAAGTTTACTCTAATTAAAATTAAATTTCCTAAAACCTCTTACAAGATCTCTTTCTTGTAAAATTATCTACACAACCACTTCACAGTCCAGTCCAATCTCCCCCATCCTCCACCGTTGCAAACTTCTCAAAACCACCAACAAACACATCTTCATAACCTTGAAGAATTTTTTCAGAAGCGAATATCACCATCCTTTGGCAGCCAATAATTCCCTCTTTCACCCAGCAAACCCACCCACCTCATTCACCTTGCTCCCATCCCAACAAACCCACCTCACCCTTTCCTCATGTCCAGCAACCTATCAGCCCACCCAAAACCCCAAAAAGGCATCATCCGCACCCACTTCACCGCGCAAAACAACCTGCAGCTCCGTAATCCTCAGTAAAAAATCAAAATAGTCACAATCAATTCTTTTGGGCTTTTTTTTTAAAGAAAATAAAAAGGAAAAAAGAAGGGGTGTGGAGATCTTTGTGGCTGATTGAGGGAGGAGAGAGAGAATTAATATTAGTGGCCGACGAATAAAGTGGAGTGGAGGTAGTGGTAGGGTGGGAGGCGTTGGTGGGATTTGAGACAGAGGAGGATTGGTGGGATTTAATGACACGACCCATCCCGAATTTCCTCATCCTGTAGGATCCAGACGGTCCCACAAGACTCGGATACCCAAGACGTGCCATAAAAATTGTAAAACCTGTTAGAAGACTTACTTTTCCTGAATAACATCATAGTATTTCCATTTCCAACATCTCAAAAAAACATACACCATCTCTCGTTTTACAAAAAGAAAACATTTAGGGAAACTTGTGGTATCAGGTTTTCCACTTATACTACATATTTCAAACATAAACAAAAGAAATACATGAGTTTTTTTTAAGCGGAAGTCCAAAATACAATACGACATAAATATAAAACCCACATAAAATGATGTCGACGCGTGACACAACCCTGAGCGAAGACTCACTACTCGGCACGATCTCCGGGAGGTCCTGGTGAGGGGGAAAAACATTTAAAAAGGGGTGAGCTGAAATAATCAGTAAGTGGGAGAAAGGAGAGGTTTATAAAAGTTCTTAAAAAAAGAAATAATGATAGCATACAATAATTCTTACGCAAATCCTGACGAGAATATAATTATATGAATATACAATGGAAGTAACCACCCATTCACGTATGCAATATGAGATTTGTTTATAACAATCCTGCACTCAGTAAACTATACTCTGACTTACTTCCTTTACCTGTATCGGATTCTGAATAAAACCTCAACATTTGGTATTAGAAACTCTCACCACAACTAGTACCCTAGGGAAAATCTGTCATACCTGGTGGGCGTCCCACACGCAGGCAGAGCGAGGGACATACCTATCATACCCGACAAGATCTATCATCGCGCGGGCAGAGCCTCAAAACTGTCATACCGAGCGGACCACTCAACGCCTAGGCAGAGCATTGATAACTGTCATACGCATGCGTAGAGTCATAAACTAAATCTGATAATCTGTAACTCTGGGGGATGGGTACTTCGTAGGGTAGTTTTAGCACCACTACAATCTCATACATAATCTCAAGTAATATGTAAGTCAAAAGCATATTACGTATGTGCTTATAAATCATATATATATGACATAATATTCAAAAATCACATATAGGGGTGAAACTATAATTTTCTAAACATATTTCAGAAACTAACGGTTTAACCCATATTAAAAATTACTTCAACATCACATGATCTTGGCATATGTCCGATACAAATCATAAGCAAATATCACTTTTAAAAGTCAAAACTCATATAACACATTATAGTTATAAGTAAACCCAAGAGCAAAAATAAATATAATAATAATAAGAATATAAGAATATTTCATATAAGGATAAATCATGCCAACATATGAGATTTCATGGAAAATACAAAATAGGGGGTAAAATGTAAGTTTTTAAAGCATACTTTCAAAACTGACAAAAAGCACCCCATTTGCCCTTTTTACCGAGAAAATTATTTACCAACATCACAAATCTCAGTCTTTTCTTTATCATGCTGCCCATCAAGTATGCAGTTTAATACCCAGCAATAATTTCTTCAAAAACACAAGTCAACCATCATCCTAATATGTATCCAGCCGAGTGCACGTGGTTACAATTAACAAGCAAATGCATCCCACTTAAAAACTCAATCATGCACTTCAAAGATTCGTCCAAAAATATGTAAAAGAAAAAAATTTAAGCAGTCTTCACATTTAGCTCAAATATCATCAAAACATTAAATTGGGGAAACCACAAATGTAACATGCAAGCATAGATCTAAACTTTTAAAGAAAGTTTTCATTTAAGCCACTCACTATTCTAACTCAGTCGAAGCTCCCTGCACTCTCCTCCACTCTTCTCTTCTGATCCTAGCATCAGGAACAACAATGGTTAGTTTTTTTTTTTCTATTGGATTGAATGAGAAATGAGAGATCTACCTCCCAAGCTGCATGCATGAACAACCCGAACTTGGGTTACAACCAGTCTGCTCTTCTTTTCTCCTTCCACTATTTTTCATTTCATCTCCTCCATTTCTCCCTCACTCTACCATTTTCAGCCGAACCCATTCTCCTCTCTTCTCCTTTTTCTTCTTTTCTTCTTCTTTCTTTCTATCCTCTCTTCTATCTTTTCTCTCTTATCTTTCTCTCTTTCTCCTTTCGTTTTCTCTTCTCTCCTTTTTTTTTTTTTCTGCTCTGTTTTCGCTTTCTCCCTCGGCTCTCGTCTTCTTCTTCTTCCTTTGGGAATTGGGCGAACAGCCCTTTCTTTTTCTTTTAAACAAAAGTCTTCCTTTTTCTTTTTCTAAAATTTTATCTGGCCCCCAAAATTCTCTTAATTTTATCTAACCCCGCCACATAAGTTTTTCCCAACAAAAGTGTCCAGATTTTTCCCTCTTGATACATGCAAACCCACCAGAATTTATTTCTTTTGCTTTCACCCCTTAATGCAAACTTTAAAAACTGACAGAAATACCCCTTTCTTACAACAATACCATAACATAAAATCAAAGAAGTAAACAACTAAATAAAACTCATGCTATTACTAAATTAGAAATGGGGTTTTTTATTTAAGGCATTGGAGGTAGTGCTAGGGAAGGGTAGAAACGAACGGTGGCTGTGGATTAGGGATAGAGAAAGAGGGAATTATTGGCTGCTAAAGTAAAGAAGAAGATAAAGAGATGAAAACACAGACAGAGATGAAGATAAAAAGGAATATCAAACTTTAAAGGGCATTTCAGTCTTTTATATCACTGTTATCTTTAGCAAACGGAAATCCTTAACAAAATCTAACGGAAAATAGCTATTTGTTATTTTCAAACTTTTTGAGTATCATATTGTCTTTACGGCAAACTATGAGTAGTTGCATGCCGTTTGCCCTTTCATGAAATTCTGGAATTTTAGGTTCCAAAATTGGTCCACTGCATTACATAGTACATAGTTTGAGATTTTCCATTGTAACTACAATAAGATGGAAGATCTTCAATCCTTTCCAACAATGCGTGGGCTTTGGTTTCACAGGGTAACTTCAAATGGGTCATGGAATTAACACAAACAACAATTTATACTTCTATAGGCTATATGCATGTATTTTGGACCAATCACGATGTATGTACTGTATTTCCGATCGATCACAATATATTTACAAACATGTAATCTGATGTAGTATTTTCTCCATATCATATGCTTGT